CGTGGTGGTGCACGCCTTTAATCCCAGCACTCGGGAGGCAGAGGCAGGCGGATCTCTGTGAGTTCAAGGCCAGCCTGGTCTACATAGTGAGTTCCAGTACAGCTGGGGCTACAGGGAGACCCTGTCTCAAAAAAACCTAAAAAAAAAAAAGTTCAAGGCCAGTCTGGATTACAGGGGATACAAAACAATAAGCAAAATTACGCAAATGGACCCCCAAATAAATAAATAATAGAAGTTAATATTTTTTAAATAAAAGAAAGAAAGGGAAGGTGATAAAGAAGAAAGGAGGCACACAGGCAGAAAAACTACCTGACAGTGAAACTTCACACCTTTGACTTCTAAGCATCACTCCAACAAGAAGGGGTAAAATAGGGATCCCTCAGTAAAATAGGGATGAAGACAAGGAACAGTGCAGGGTCTCCCCAGAATGCCCTTTAAACAACCTAGGATTGTTTTACTTCTTCTTACTTCCTTTTCTCGCCTCAAACCTCCATAAGAAACAACGTTAGTCCATCTACAGTCAAATGCCTAACTAGCTAGATAGACACTAGCCCAGTCTAGGCCACTATCTTGACATGTGGCATAGCTAGAAAGCTCCTGGCAGCTAGCAAGGCTGGTGCCAGTCCCTTCCTTCAGTCCCCAAGCTTTAGACCCAAGAGAGAAGATGAGACAATGCGTAGCTTCTGAGGCCATTTTGCCACCAGCCCTCAAGACCCTCAGGACACTTGCTCCAAACCTCTGTTGTATAGTCCTGGTTACTGATGGCTCAGCCCTGGTAAGTATGGCCCAGTGGGAAAGAAGAGAAGAAAAAGAGGAAATCAGAGTAAGCCCCATGAGGTCTCTCTCTGCCCATCCCATCCTAGAGGATGAGACTCTCGAATCTTCCTGCTTCCCATTGCTCTTCATGACCACCCACTGACACATTCCCTCTCCTCTGTGTACTACCAGGGCTCCATGAGTCCTGAAAGGAGAGTCATGGGTCACTTGGGCAAGAATATACCTATGCAACAGACACAGGCGTTCACACACAGCTTGCAGACTCACCATGACCAAAGGCCCTTTCCTTACTCATGTCTAGAGAAGGCCTGTGTGAACACTGCACTGTTCCTTGTTCCTTGTCATCATCCCTGTTTTACAGATGAAGACTGGAGACATAGATCCTCAAGAAGGAGGAATGGAACTGGATGAGGAATGGATGAGGAGTCTGGGAACAGAAGACCTGGTCTTCAGGCTCCATTCCTTTTTTTTTTTTGGACAGAGTCTCATAGCCCAGGCTGGCCTTGAACTCCCTATGTAGCTGAGGATGACCTTAAATTCAGATCTGCCTGCCTCCATCTCCTGAGTACTGGAACAACAGGTGTGTGTTACCACATTCGGGTTGTGTAGTGCTGGGAACAGAAACTAGGTCTTTATGCATGCTAGGCAAGCACGCTACCAAATCAGCCACATTTCCAGCCTTCAGTTCCATTCCTACTTTTTGAGGGTCCATGTCTCTATTCTCTCCTCAGTAAAATAGGGATAATGACAAGGAACAGTGCAGGGTCTACACAGGCCTTCCCTGATATACATGAAGCTTTGGTCTGACAGGAAGCATGACACAAATATTTCCTAAGATGTCCATTCACAAACTTGACATATGCCTAGGACTTGCCACCCCTGCCAAAGGCTCCCCAAAGCTGGCAGCCACCTTACCAAGTGCTTCAAAGCCCTTTCACATACCCTATGATAGCAGGTTCACACGCTGAATACTGTATAAATATAGGTTTTATTAATAATGGGTGAAATCCCACAAATACAACTGGCATCTGTGTAATGAGAAGAACCTGTGGAAGAGTGAGGGCAGGTGGCAAGGAGTGAACACAGGGGTAGGGAACAGGTCCTGGAGAAGCAGAATCTGAAGTAGATGAGCCTGGACCCACCAGGAAGACAGACAGACATGCTGTGGGTGTCTGCCACTTTGGTGGCCAGGCCCTACTGCTCTGATGTCCTGGGCCAGCTGCTGATCGAAAGATGAAGAGATGTGGACAGAAGTTTGAACGAGCAGTGGGCAGCTGAAGAAGGCGCAGTAGAGGAAAAGTGTCAGCTTGGAGCACAAAAGGAGGGCCATAGAAGGTGGTGGCTGAGGCCAGCTTCTGCCTGTGTTTGTGCTTGTTGGGTCCTGACCTCCAGGAGTCTAGTGCCCAGTGCCACCCCTGGCTCGAGAGGGAGGGAAGACTAAGGGGAGACACCTACAGATATTGGAGTCACACTGAGCTGCACCAACCTCATCCTTGGTCTCCAAAGCAGGATTCCCAGGAGGAGGTTGGTGCTACCCTTCCAAAGCACCTGCTGCCACCACCTTAGTGCCACAACAGTTCTTCCTCTGAGCCATAGGGGATGGTGCATGTGTAGGGCCAAGATTGCCTGATTATGTTTGTGTGCCTGTGACTCTGGAGAGGGAAGGAGCCTGTGGAGCCCCATGTCAGGAGCAGCAATAAGAGAAGGTTGGGGCTTCCCTGGCTCACCCCCAGAATAAAGTGCATTCTCCAGTTCCAGTGACAGGTGGGAAAGAGACATGGACATTATTGCAGAGGTGCCATCCAGACCTACCCTGGCCCAAGGATTTGGGGGAGTGGGGGGACACATCCATGGTCTCTCCAATCTCCAGGATTGGAAGTGGTGGCCCAGACAGAAAAAAACCAGCTTCTGTCCCAGCAGATTGTCCAAATCAGCCAAGGTAGGGGGAGGGGGAAAGAGAAGGAAGAGACTTCCAGAGTCCCTTCTTGTTCCATCCAATTCCATGATGAGACTCCCTGGGGACCCCACCAGGGCCCAGCCCTGGAACTCCAGCCTTATAATCTTATAACACCTTGGCTTACAAACACTAGTGTGGTGGGGACCCCCAGAAGAGGTTACTTTGATCAGCTGTAAGTTGGGGCCTAGAGAACATGGGGCTCCCAGGCAGAGGAGGACAACAGAGGAGGGTGCCCTGGGCAGGAAGGGGGTTGCAACCTCCCAGTGGTCTTTGCATGCAGGTGTTGGACTGAGTAGGGAGGAAGCTACAACCGCATCAACTTGGGAAGACTCCTGGGCTTGGTGGGGTGGGCTGGAACCCCACCTCCAGGGCTGAGGCTGGGCACCCAGGCCCACAGCCAGGGGAGGGGAGGACGGCTGCACCAGCAGCCAATGCCCAAGTCTACAAGTTTAAAACAGTCCCAAAGGGCTGGGGGCTTCCTGCTGCAGAGGCTGCCCAGCAGAGGCAAGAGAACGGCTCTATCTCTCAGACTTGACCCGGTACCGGAGTACAAGGTATGCCAGCAACCGCAGGGCCAGGAAAAAGATGCCCAACACCAGGAAGTCCATGTAGAGTTTGGCCTCCTCCACATCTAGCTCTCGCAGGATGCTCTGTGGATCCCGGAATGGGCAGTGTTTGTCTAAGCAGGTCAGATGTCCTCGCTCCATGCCGTAGATGGTCAGAATCAGACCTTCAAAGCCATACCTAAGCAATCAGGTGCATCAGAGCAGGACACAGAACACTGGACCCCCATACCTTAGCAAATCACCAGAGACCAGCCACAGTGCTCTCATGCCAGGTGTTAGCCAGGGTGCCCAACAAGTTGCCCCTGCCTGAAGAGTAGTGGGGCAGACATCAGACATGGCCCAGGCCCAGAACTGGCAAGCCTCCTGCAGGGAGGGAAGAGGTACTGACCTGACGTAGGAGAGGTAGGAACTCCACTGCAGGTAAGTAGGGATGGTCTTGAAGCTCACAAAGAAGCCAGAGAACAAGAGGACAGGGATGGCAGTAACTGGACCCACAAAGGTAGCCACCTAGAGGGCCAAGGAGGGGGCCAGGATATCACAGGGGTGACCACAGTTCATCCACCCCTATGCCAGCTCTTGATTCCCTCCACAAGACCCCTACCTGTAGGGAGTTAGAAGCAGCTCCAATCAACAGTCCCAAAGACTGGGCTACTAAGGCGGTGGCTGTGGCCAAGGCTGAGAAGAGCAGGAAGCGGCTGGTCTCAGCTGGCTGGCCTGTCATCCAGTACACGATGCTGCAGTACACAACAGGGCACACCACCTAGCGGACAGGCACAGAGGGGGGGTGGGAGCCTTTATGCCAGGAACAAGTGACTTAGGCCCCCCACCACTTCACCTGGGAATGCTGTACAGCCCCAGTCCCCTGGCTACAGAATAAGACCCTGTCTCAAAACAAAAGAGAGAGAGCGAACTCTTAGGAACCAGGAACTGAGCCCACTTGGTACTGTCATGCAGGTTGTTTCTGGCACAAGGGCTCCCAGACAAGGCAACCAGAGGCCAGGATCAAACTTGTGCCTCTCTCACTAAGCTTTATGCTTGACACAGTGCAGCATCCACCTTCCTTTTTGTTGTTTGTTTGATACTGGGGCCTCAGGTAGCCCAGCCTGGCCTCAAGTTCAGTATGAAGCTAATGATTCCTAATCATTCTACTTCTATGTCCCCTGTGCTGGGATTACATTCATGCCCTGACACACCTGGCTAAGGAGCACTTTTCTGTAATTTGCACAAAGGTACTCTATGGATTATTGGTAGTCCTGGTTCTTGAAACAAGATGGTAGTGAGATTAACAAATATCAAGTAATATTTCTTGGGCATTTAGTATGCAACAAGCACTATTCTAAAAACTTGATATGGGGCCAGAGAGATGGCTGTTAAAGGTGCTTGCCAGACAAGCCTGGTGACCTGAGTTCAGTCCCTAAAACCCACATGTTGGAGGAAGAGAATTGATTTCCGCAAGGTGTTCTCAAACTTCACACATGCAATGTCACATGCACATGTGTGCCCACACATACAGAAAATAAATAAGTTAATGTTAAAAAAAAAGTTTTAAAATATGTATTCATTGGGGCTGGAGAGATGACTCAGCAGTTAAGAGCACTGACTGCTCTTGCAGAGGACCTGGGTTCAATTCTTAGCACCCACATGGTGGCTAACAACTGTTTGTTCCAGAGGAATCCAATGCCCTCTTCTGACCTCCTTGAAATTTTTTAATATTCTATTTATTATTTTTATTTTATGTGTATGAGTGCATTGCCTGCATGTAGGTAAGTGCACCCATGTTGTGCAATACCCGTGGAGGACAGAAGAGGCTGTCAGATCCCCTGGAACTGGAGTTACAGACAGTTGTTAGCTGCCATGTGGGTGTTGGGATTCAAACCCAGGTCTTCTGCAAGAACAACCAGGGTTCTTAACCACTGAGCCATCTCTCCAGCCTGAAATTTTAAAATATTTTTTAAAATATGCATTAATGCAGTAAATTCTTGCACACAATGCTAAAGAACATGCTGTTGCCATTCCATTTTACCGATGGGGACACTGAAGCAAAGAGGTTCGGGGGGCTTGTTCAGTGTTTTACACCTTTCGAGTGAGTAAGGCTCCAAAACCTAAAGGCTCTTCTGTTGCCTTGAAAAACACTAAGCCATTTGTTATTAGAGTCAGCTTTAAAAAAGTATTACATCAGCTGGGCGTGGTGGCACACGCCTGTAGTCCCAGCACTCAGGAGGCAGAGGCAGGAGGATCTCTGTGAGTTCAAGGCCAGCCTGGTCTACAGTCTACATAGTGAGTTCCAGGACAGCTTGGGCTACAGGGAGATCCTGTCTCAAAAAGACCAAAAAAAAAGTATTACATCTATTTATTAATTGATTTGTTTATTGTGTGTGCTCCTGTGTACATGTGTAGGTTAGAGGACAACTTGTAGGAGTCTATTCTCTCCTTTCACCATTTGGGTCCCAGGGATTGAACTCAAGTCATTGGGCTTGGCAGTAAGTACCTTTACCTACTGAGCCATTTCAATGGCTCTTGGGGGTTTTTTTGTTGTTATTTTTGTTTGTTTTTAAATATTTTATTTATTATTTTTATTTTATGTGTCTGAGTGTATTGCCTGTGTGTAGGTAAGTGCACCCATGTCATCCAATGCCTGCGGAGGTCAGAAGAGGCTGTCGGATCCCCTAGAACTGGAGTTATGGACAGTTGTTAGCTGCCATGTGGGTGCTAGGATTCGAACCCAGGTCCTCTGTAAGAACAACCAGTGTTCTTAACCACTGAGCCATCTCTCCAGCCCCCCTCCCCTTTTTTGAGATAGGGACTCACACTGTAGCTCAGGCTGGCCTTGAACTCATGACAATCCTCCTGTCTCAGTCTACCAGGTGCTGGGATTACAGAGGTGAGCCACTACAACTAGCTAGGATCATTGTTTTCAGTTTGTAGTCAGTTTTCCCAGTAGACCATATGTTCCACAAGCTCAACTATGAGTCTGTTCTGTTGCTGTGTCCCAGTGACTGGTGTCAGGCCTGGTACAGAGCAGGTATCCATTGCCTCCTTGCTTAGTGAGAGGAGGAGAGAATGGAATGTGGCACGATTGATGGGGTGGGGGCAACAAGCAGGAAAGGGCCAAGACAGCAGTGATGAGCAGGAAGAGGCTCACCTGGAAGGGCACATCGGCCATGGTCTTGGCCAGGTAATACGCTTTGAGGCTGTACCAGTAGTTCAGGTGTTCCCTCATGAAGACTGCCATCTCTAAGGGAACTGAGGAAACAGGTGTGTCAGCCCCCACCAGCTAAGCTTTGGCCCCCGATTCATGCCCAGCACCCCATACCCAGCACCCCACCCGCTAGGCAGCTCAGCTCACAGGTGAGCACGGTTGGCATGAGGGCTGCAAACATAAGGAAGAGCATGGAGAAGAAGAGGCAGCCGGTGTTGTTGAAGACTTTGCTGGCGTCATCACCAATATGCAAGTAGAGGAGACCAATGAGCACGCCAATCAGCACGTGGGACACAAACCGCAAGTGGGTCAGGACCTATGGGACAGATCATCAGGAGGAAAGGTATGTGTGCCAGGTTGAGGATAGGTGGGCCACAGGGCAGCCCACACTAGAGTAGGAACTTGGAGCTGCCCTTGCAGGTACATGGACCCACAGGTGCACTTGGGAAGCATCCCCAGTTCCCATTCCAGCTGCTGTGATCCTACAGCCCAAGAAGTCCGGCTATGCCCCCTGCCCCCCAACTTGAAGTCTCACCGTGTCCCTGAGGATGGACAAGAAGGTCCTCCTGAAGAGGATACAGAACTGGGTAAGGGTACTGGTGGCAAAAGTGTGGCTTTCAATGGGATCCACTTCCTGGGGAGAAAAAGTGGGACCAGGTGACTGTACCCTACCTACCCAATGCCCACCCAGCTCAGTAGATGTGAGAATTCCAAGCTCTTCCCAGGGCAGTGCCGAAGCCTGAGGAAGGAGGAGCCTTCACCATTGAGCTGTGCACCTGGAAGCTAAACTTAGGGCGTAGGAAGAGAGAGAGAGAGAGAGAGAGAGAGAGAGAGAGAATATAAAAGAAGAAACTTGGGGGAGGAGACAGGAACAAGTCAAAGACCCCTTCATGGCTCAGTTGATCAGTCACTGAGCCACTAAGGTCACAATTTTATAGGCTGCCAGTCTCACCATGTCATTGATTCATAACAATAATGACAACAAAGCCTCAGGTTTTCAAGAGTGAGGGCATCTATCTCATCCTAGGATGGGTCTGGCACTGAGCAGACCCTTGATCCCCAGTGGCCTGCTAAGAGCTTAAGTGGTTAGCTAGCTAGACTTCTAGCAGTCCTAGGAGGCTAGTGTTGTCTCCTCTGGGTTAGAGAGGAGAGGAAGCCATCCTGGCCCTGAGGTCTGCAACTGCATTGCCCATGCTTACCAGATGGGCCCTGAGCAGGCACTGAGGGCAGTGTCCCAAAGATGCTCATAGGAGCTGCTGGAGGAAAGAGTGGACAAGAAGTCCACAGTTCAGCCAAGTCATGTCACCATTATCAGTAGGTATGTTCCAAACCCTGGGCTTCCTGGTACCCAGTGGTGGTAATGCCTTTGGGGATGGCCTTTTTTGACAGGGTCATTGTCTATGGTCCCATCTCCCCTCCCCCACTTTGCCCTCTACACCCCACTCACCGGAGGGCAAGTGGGGCAGTGGGCAGGGACCTCATTCTTCTCGGGGCTGCTCTTCTTCTCAGCCATGGTGCAAAGGCCATTCTGCACAGCCCTGAACAGCATGGGGTTCAGGTCTCCATACTCGCCAGAGGCCACCTCAATGACTGGGGGACATAGAGCAAAGTGCTCAGCCAGGCTTCACCCTCAATTCCCAAGGGCAGCTCAGTCCCTCCTTGGTGTGTGGAGAAGGCAGGTGGTGATGAGATCTCTGTCCCCAGGAGGCCTCCCTGATCCAAACCCAAGGTCTGGCCCTCCTCTGTCACCCACTCCCTCACAGGGGCCCCAACTCACTGAAGTCAGCGGGATTGTGGTAGGTGGGACAGTGCAAGCCAAGCCCCTTCAGATAGGGAATCAGGTTGGTTACCACGCCCTTGAAGATGCACTGGCCCTGGCTCAGGATGTAGAGCTGAAGCAGAATGGAAGTGTGAGGAAAACACAACCAATGGGCCAGGGGACCTCACCAGCACCTCCATCCCTCCATCACAGCCCAGTCTCCTTGGAAACCCAGGGTCACTGACCTTGTCAAACATCTCAAAGAGCTTGGCACTGGGCTGGTGGATGGTGCAGATGACGGTGCGGCCCCCGCGGGCCAGAGACTTCATGAGGGACACCACTTGGAAACAAGAAGCGCTGTCTAGACCGCTGTCCAGAGAGAGGTCACCAGGGACTGGTGAGGTGGGTGGGACTAAGAGGAGGGTGAATAGGGTGGGGTAGCTTCTGTGAAGAGGATGGGCTGGCAGGAAGGCACCCCTCTGGCCACCCTCATATCCTGTATCTCTTGTATGGTTCAGACATTTGCAAGTCCAGAGCACTGCTCAGTTTAATAAGCATATGCTGAGCCCCTGTTGAATACCGGGCACTGGAATTACAAGGGCACAAATAAGACTGGTCTAGAGGGAGATAGATAAGCTCATGGTGGATTTTAGAGGATGTGGGATATGCAGTAGCAACATGGAGTAAAAGACAGGAGATCAGCCACGCTGTGCTGCAGGGTAGCCAGAGAAGGTTTCCATGTAAGTCTCAAAGAGCAAGAGCTGAGCTGGTGAAGAGATAAGGGAAAGGTGAAGGGCATTCCACACAGAAGACAGTGTGAGCCAAGCTCGGAGGCATGGAACACAGGTTTGACAGGGGAATTACAGGCAACTCAGTGTTATTAGAGCATAATATCCGCAAGGCTGGAGAAGTATTTTTGGACCAGGACATTGGAAGCCACCTGATTATTTAGAGGGCAAATGGGACTCATTGCACGCTTTGAAGCAGGGGAGGGGGCCTTGCCAGGCTTGTCTTTAGAAAGTCCACTCTGGCCATGGGCTGGAGGAAGGATTGGCCAGGAGACTGAAGATAGAAAGGTGAGTCTGTTGATTTTCTGAACTCAAGCACTGGTGCTAGGAATGGGTCAGGGTGAATCTGAAAACTACCAAAAGGACTTGATAACTAATGGATGCAGGGGAGAGGAGAGGGAGGCGTCAGTCAAGGGGGCATCCAGATCTCCACCTGGATGAAGGTTAGGCTGCTGGGCTGCAACTGGATTAGCAAGGATGAAGGCCCTGGAAGGCTGCAAACAGAGGATCTGGTCTCCAGCCATGGAACTACAAGGCAGATACCATCTCCATCCCTGGCTGAGAAGGGAACCTGGTGCCGGGGAAGGGGAGCTACCTGGTCGGCTCATCAAAGAACATGACAGGTGGGTTGTTGACCAGCTCCAGGGCAATGGCTAGGCGCTTCCTCTGCCCCCCAGAGAGCAGGGCTGTCCTCGTATGAGAGCAGGACATCAGACCCAGGGCCGTCAGGATCTCGGTCACCTGGAGGCACCCCCACCCAACTCAGGTCAGCTTCAGTGTCTCCACTTCACCCAGGCACCACTCCACTTTCATGAAGCATCTCCCTTAAGCCCTGTCCCCACTTAGTTACCACTCTTTCCCTGCCAGCTTAGGGCCCCAGAATTCATGCACTACAGAAGGGCACCATCCCTTGCTCCCCTTCCCTGCTTACCAGCTCCTTCTTCACCTCTTGTTTCTCACTCAGCTTCAGGTTGGCAGACACCTAAGACGTGGAGAACAAGCGAGAGAGATGTGTGCAAGGCCCTGCCCAGCCCCTTTGGCTGGTGACTATGGAGACAGCAGACAGAAGGGGGCTAGGAGGAGGGGCCGGCCACCCTCCCCTCACCATCATGGCTTCTAGCACTGTGAGGTGTGGCAGCAGCATGTCGTCTTGCATGATGTAGCAGGACATCTTCCGGAAGGTCCTCAGCTCCCGTGGCCTCCCATTGACCAGGATCTGCCCCTTCATCCCAGACTCCCTGCAGGGCATTGGTTGAAAAGAAGGGTCAACGCCACTTCAGAACACCTTCTGGGCTCCCCCAAGAGGTCCTTCTTCCCAAGTCCTACCCCCTCATGCCCCTCATCCTCACCTGTACCCTGCCAAGATGTTCATGAATGTGGACTTGCCAGCCCCAGAGGGGCCCATGATGCCAATCAGCTCTCTGCGGCAGAACTTACCAGACAGGCACTTGAGGAGGGTCTTATAACCTGTAGCAAGGATGAGAGGAATGGCTGGTGAGGGCTAATGGGTCAGAGACATCCTCAAAACTCTTAAGAGGAGGCTGGGAAGGAGGTACAGTTAGTAAAGTGCAAGGACTTGAGTTCCATCCCCAGAACCCACATAAAAAGCTGGGCTTATCCTGGGTATAGCAGTTCATGCCTGTAGTCCCATCACTTGGAAAGCTGAAACAGGAAGGTATCTTTGAGGCCAGCCTGGCCTACAGAGTTTGAGACTCCATCTCAAAAATAAATAAATAAATAAAATTAAAACTAAAACCCTTTCCATTAGCTGGGCATGGTGGCACACTCCTTTAATCCCAGCACTCGGGAGGCAGAGGCAGGCAGATCTCTGTGAGTTCAAGGCCAGCCTGGTCTACATATTGAGTTCCAGGCCAGCTGGGGCTATAGGGAGACCCTGTCTCAAAAGACAAAAAAAAAAAAAACCTTTCCATTATTTCAGCAGGGTTGGAGAAATGGCTCAATGGTTAAGAGCACAAACTGTTCTTGCAGAGGACCCAAGTTGGGTTCCTAGCCCCCATGTCAGGCAGTTCACAATAGCCTATAACTCCAGTTTCAGGGGATATAATGCCCTCTTCTAAGCCTCCACAGGCATCTGTACTCACACTTTAGTCCCCCTCCCCACATACCACATGCACATATACACATAATTAAAAATAAATCTTTAACAATAACATGAGAAAATCCAGGTTGGTGGTACATACTTGTAAACCCAGTATTGAGGAGGCTTGCTAACCAGCTAGCCTAATCTGCAAGCCCCAATGAGAGACTCTGTCTCAAAAGAGGTTGACCTCTGGCCTCTACATACATATGCACATACATGCACCTGTATCTACACACATATACGATTCTTAGGAGGGGTATGGTCATAGGTGACATAGACATCCATGGCTGAGTGAGATTGGGTTAGGATGGGTGAGCAGTTCTCAGACAATGGCTCCTACCCTCTGCATCCTATCCCACTAGAAATGACTGCCACTATTGTCAGAGTCCAGGGGGTAACAGTGGGAAAGCTGGCCCCTCTCCTGAGTGGTTGTAGAGAGAGCACTGGGGTCCTAGACCCAGGCTCCCCCCACCCCCAGAATCACAGTGGTTGCTGTTTTATGCACTTGAGGGGCACTGAGCCAGCCCAAGCTGGCTGACTATCCTGTGTTCCCATAGCACATCTCAGATGCCAGCATGTCTGTCACCCAATGTGCCTGCCTGTCCCTCACCCTCCTCCCCCAGCCTCTTAGTCAGTGAGCTCCTTGGGTGGGGGGCACTGTGTCTTACTCATCTTTCTGGATCTGTCTGACATGTAGTAGATGCTCAGTAAGTGTGTATTCTCAGAGCTTTTCCCCATTCTGGAAAAAAACTGCCTTCTTTATACTTTCTCTGCCTTTGAAACTTGCCTCTCTAGCTCTTAACATGACCAAGTAAAATCTCTTCTGTCATCCACTGGCTGAGAAGCAGCATATGCATAAATAACACTTGTATAGAGTCAGGTAGATCTAGTTAAAATTATGGCTCCACAGTTACTGGCTGTGTGATCTCAGGCAAGTTGCTTAACCTTTCTGAGCTCCAGGTCCCTCATCTGTAAAATGAGGATGACAGGGTCTATCTCGTAGGATTGTTGTGAAGATTCAATGAGCTAATATATGAGAAGCATATGACATAGTGCTTGGGATATACAGTGCACCTCAAAAATGATATTGTATTACAATCCTCTTTGATAAATTCTTATTGATATCTACTCTGTATAAAGCTCTGTACCACTATTCTTCTTGTTCAAAGAAGAATAGTGGGCTGGGAATGTAGCTCAGTGGCATAGCATTTGCCTAGCATGAACAAGGCCCTGTGTTCTAGCTCCAGCATCATTTTTTTTTTGGTCTTTTTGAGACAGTGTCTCCCTGTAGCCCCAGGTGTCCTGGAACTCACTATGTAGACCAGGCTGGCCTTGAACTCACAGAGATCTGCGTGCCTCTGCCTCCCAAGACACTAGACAAAAAAAAAAGAAAATGAAGGACACAAATTCTGCATTCAAGAACATCATAGGCTAGGCAAGGTAGGTGGATGAGAAAACACCTATAATCTGAAAAAAAGTAAAATAAGGGTTAGAAGTGCAAAGAGTGTATATGAGACTGCAGCAACTCAGACACTGAAGGTAGAAGAGAGGCAGAAATCAGGAATGGCTTCATGGAAGAGGTGGCATTTAAGCTAAGGATGAAGAACAGAAGCCCCCAAGGCCTCAGGAAGAAAATCTCTGCTATATAAAATAATCCAAGGCACAGAGGGCAGTGACTGCACAGAGCCAACTGGTGAGCTTGGGGTGGAGAGTGAGGAAGTGGCCAAGGACCAGGGCCTTGCCTACTAGGCTTGCAGACATGCTATATCAAAGAGGAGAGCTCAAGCCTTCATCCCTAATCTAGCCAAAGTCTGCCCGCAGAAACAGTGAAAGTTTACTTTATGTAAGCCACTGTCTATGCCACCCTGGACCATGCCCCTCCAGGCCCAATCTATGGCCACTGTCAAGCTGGACCACGCTGACTGCTTGCTCAGTGCACTCATTCCCTCAGCTGCTCCTCCAACATAGATGCGGCAACTGAGGCCAGAGACAGTCATCAACTCACCCAAGGTCATGCAGTACTTCTTTACTGGGAGAGAAAAGACATGGGTTCCAGCCTTCTGCTTCAGTGCTCCTCACAGTCAACTAGAAAGATGTTGGGTGGTATACACCAGCACATACTTTCCAGAGTCACTCACAAGAAGTGATTTCTTGTACAAAGGAAGAAATTGCAACCGGAAACCTTTCCCTCGTTTAATTGCAATCAGATGCTAGTTGAACCCTGAGGCCTAACACAAATATCATCTTACACTTACTTGCCTTGTCTAAAGCATTGTCAAGATACCAACTCAGCTGAGCTCCCCAAGAAGCCCACATTGTGGGTTTTGTTGTCATTCCTGTTTATTGATGAGGAAAGTCAGGGCAAGAGAGGGCATGCAGTCTATCAAAGGTCACATAGCTTCCAACAGGCTGGGAACCCTGAATTCCTCCTGTCTTACGACTGCTCAGCACATGAGGGTCCTGCAGGCCTTCCAGCTAGAAAGACATCAGCATTGTAGTCTTGCCTCCATCAATAGCTCTGCAATTTTGTCAAGTCACTAAATCTTTTTATTTAATTTTGCTTACGTTTTTGGAACATACATTTTATTTATTTATGTTAATTTTATTTATTTATGTTATGTCTTCCTATGTACTCCAAGCTAGCCTTGAACTCACAATCATCCTGCCTCAGCCTCCAAAGTGCTGAGATTTCAGCTGGGTGTCATTAAGCCTGCCAACTCACTTAGTCATTAGGGTCTGTGATTCCTCATCCATCAAAGAAGAATAGTGGGCTGGGAATGTAGCTCAGTGGCATAGCATTTGCCTAGCATGAACAAGGCCCTGTGTTCTAGCTCCAGCATCATTTTTTTTTTTTTCGGTCTTTTTGAGACAGTGTCTCCCTATAGCCCCAGCTGTCCTGGAACTCACTATGTAGACCAGGCTGGCCTTGAACTCACAGAAATCTGCCTGCCTCTGCCTCCTGAATGCTGGGATTAAAGGGGTGTGCCACCATGCCCAGTTAATAATGTTATCTTTAAAAAAATGATGCTGATGGCTGGGCATGGTGGCCCATGCTTTTAATCCCAGAACTTGGGAGGCAGAGGCAGGCAGATCTCTGTGAGTTCAAGGCCAGCCTGGTCTACATAGTGAGTTCCAGGACAGCTGGGGCTACAGGGAGACCCTGTCTCAAAAAGGCCCCCCCCCAAAGATGGCATTATTTCCTCCCAAGGAGTTAATAGAGTTATTATGACTATTTAGTTGGATTGCTAATAATTAATAGAAAGTTTTTGTAAAAATAAGAAATGTAATATACAGTTAGAGGAGACAGACCCTTACCCAGGGAAAGCAGAGATCTCCAGAGTCCATACTCTTTCCCTCTCAGCCACACTTAAATTGAGTTCTGTTCTCTCCAGAAAGGAGAGGGATTTAAAGAACAGAAAAGCCAGAAAGAGGGCAGAAGGAAGGAAAAGGGCCAGGGATGGAAGAGAGCAAAATGGGTAGGGACTGTAGAAGCTGCTGGCAAGGTCACTAGTAAGGAAAAGCAATCTAATCTAGCCACATTTCTTTTTTAATCTTCATTTCTCCATAAAGTTTTGAGGAAATAACAAGGACCTCACCATTTTGCCCAGAGCTGGTCTCATGATGGAGCTTATTTAGGGCTAGGGTGCTGGATAGGGAGCCCAGATGCCTCAGTATCCACTGGCTCCCACCCCATGACCTTTTGGTCACCCATGGGAGTGAGCGGAACATGCAGAGACAGCGCATGCTGAGCTCTGCTCTGAAGCATCCCAAACCTATTTCTTAAGTCTCAGATGACAGAGTCTCAGCTCCACCCGTGGCCCACACCCAGCTCTGGGAAACAAACCCAGCCTCCAGGTTCCCAGTCCAGCTCCCCCTGTAGGTATACAGGAGGTGGTCCAGGCTCAGGGAAACCTGTCCTGATGGGCAGGAAAGAGGTAGAGGCAGAACTGCCATACTAAGCTTCTGACCCTGCTCTGCCACTTACTAGCTGTTGGGACATTGATCTGGTCATTCAACTTCCTTGAGCCTCAGTTTCTTTATTAGTAAAGGACAAATATGTCATGTAGCCTGTCTACTTTCCATCCTCCCTATCCTCCCTGTTGAGGACTGTGGCAAGAATAAGACGGCAGGAATAAGAATATCTTTAAAATAGGTGCAAGGATACTGTAGAGACATTGAAGAAAGCCCTCAAAAACAGAGCAATCCTTCCCAAACCAGCCCTCAGAGAGAGAGAGAGAGAGAGAGAGAGAGAGAGAGAGAGAGAGAGAGAGAGAGAGACTTAAGGACCAGAGGTCATAGGGTCTGTTTAGAAGAGAGAGCATCAGTACATCAATAGTCTATTGAACTTCACTTCCCACCGGGTGCTGGCAGATGTGGGGAGCCTGAATCCTGTATCCCAGCTGTGTGCACAGTGAGTGAGGGGCTGAGGCCTATAAGGTTCACAGAATGGGGCACCCCCAGGCCTCAGGATCCTGGAGAGGCAACTCAGCCAGAACTCTCAGTTCCCCACCGGGCTGCCACCTACCCCGTTTGCGCCAGCAGGGCCCCTCCCGGACGGAATAGGACAGCTCTACGAACTCGATGTCCACAGCGGAGCGCTTGGGCAGGTGCGAGAAACGCTGAGCTTCTGTGATATGGTTCTCCACCTTCTTGAGGTGCGTGGTCAGCACAGGGGGCTCCGCCCCGTCCTCCAGCGCCACGGCCATTGCCACAGCCCCCGGCCCTAGTCCACAGCCCTCCAGTGCCTTCTCTGCCATCACGCAGCCGGCCTGCAGGGAGAGGGCCTACTCAGCTTGGGGCAGAACCCCCATTTCTTGCTTAAGGCTCCCCAGCTTTCCGATGATGCCCCGCCCCCACGTCTTCCCACCCCCTGCCTCCTTCTCAGGGCAGATCCCCAATTGTCTGTACCGGACTCACGCCGGGTCTAAGACAAGTACCCTGCCCCACACTACCGGTGCAGTTATGCTCAGTCGCGACCTCTCCTCGGTCCTGGGCAGCCCAGTCTGGCCGGGCCGGGCCTCTTGAAGCCCTGCCCGTTTCTCCCTCCCCGCGTGGCTCTAATCTCCTTACCCCGCAGGCCTGCAGCCCCTAGAGACTGGATGGCTCGGCCGGGGAGGGCAGCAGCCCACTCGGAGGTCAGGAAAGCCGGGCAGTGCAGGGTGGGCCGGGGGAGGCTCTGGCCTCGCTCTGCGTTCCCCTCCGCACCGCTGAGCACCGCTCCTCTGCCAGCCTCCCAATCCCGCGCGGGTTGCGAGCGCCCCGGGGCTGTCCCCAAAGGCAGATGCACCCTGCAGACCACAGACCCTCCGGGCCGACTCGTTGTCCCCTAGTATGCCCAGTCACCTTGACGCGTCTCCCGGCTGGTGCAGCGCACAGATGCTCAACCGGGATGCTCAGCAGGGATGCTCAGCTCTGCCGCGCCGGTGCTGAAGACTCCGGGCTTGCCTTTCCTGCCTCAGGCTGCGGCACCGGCGCCCCGGCTCCGGGTCCCGGGTGCCCGGGCCGGGGCGGGGCCGGGGCGGGGTGGGCAGTAGGGGAAGGCCGGGCTCCAGGTCAGAGGGGATGGCAGGGTCTGGGAGGGATGGTTGGGGTCCCGCTCCGACCCCACTTGGATAAGCCTGGTCCCCAGCACTGTTGTCCTCTGGACCCAGGCAGCTGGGCGACTGTGTTCTCCTAGCTTCTGCTCGCGGGTCCTGCGGCTCTTAAAGGGCCCGCGACGCCCCACACCCGGCGCGGAGCAACGAAGGAGGCGGCCGGAACAGCACCCCGCAGCCTGAGGGCCGAGGAGTCGCTTTGTGGACCCAGGACTGAGGGTTGGTGACCAAAGGTCGACTCCTAGGTCAATAAGGAGAGTTGGAGTCACTCAGGGTGCAGATTCACGCCTGGGGATTGGGAAGCTGTCACTGCCGATATCCCCAGATTCAGGCCTGGAGTTCAATTCCACCTCGCCCTAAAGTACAAAGCACTTCAAAACGGGGGTGTTGGGATTTTGGAACATCCTCCCCCAGCACTATTCACACTTTCCCTCTCTCGGGGCTCATGAGGCCACTAGTTAAGAAGAGACTGGAGACAGTAACTGTGACAAAGCTTGCAGGCAGCTCCAAGGTTAGCCTGGACGCCAATCTCACCCTGCTTTAGCGGTAGAAATCTTTATTCTACCAGCCAGATTCAGTCCTCTGGGAGGCACCAAGGCATGCACATGGCTCCCAGACACTGCTTTGGACATCTCACTCACACACATGTACCTTCTTTCTCTCACCCCACAAGCTTGGGCACTGGATCCCTAGAGTGCACTTGCACCAACCCTCCCCGGCCCCCTACCCCCCACCTTGTTTTACCCCTTTCTCTGGCAATTATTCTTGGCCCCTGTCTGCCCCAGTCTGTGTCTTCAAGGGGTAAATAGGTTAGCTAGCCATGTGACTTGAGCTTTTAAATTCCCATCTGTCACTCAGAGATGGATAGGAGGGAGGCTACTGAGGCTTCCACAGACTGCCCCAGAGGAGAGGTTACTAGCAGTCAAACATCTGCCCCCACCCCCCAACAGTCTCTGGACAGCTTGGGAGTCTAGTGGCCCCTGCAGGGCATGCCCAGGCCCCACCCTCTATGAGGTTCACATGGATTTGGGATTCAGCCTTTCCTAACTTCCCTTCACCCCCTGCTCTGGCTCACAGCCATTCCTCAGGACACACCTTCCCATTTTCCAGATGAACCATCCATTCTCCAAGTAAATCCCCAATACCCTACTACAGTCTCTCAATTCCCCAACGGTTGTACTTAGTGTTTGTGTTTTTTGTTGAGACAGGGTCTCATGCAGACGAGGCTGGCCTTGAACTTACTGTTGCTGATGCTGAGCTTTGAACTCCTGATCCTCTTGCCTCTACCTCTTGAGTGCTGAGATTATAAGTATGTGACACCCTGCCCACACAACAGCTGGATTTATTGAGAAACTATTACATACCAGGCATTTTTTCTGTTAATTTTAGTATCTTTATGAGGCTGGTTTTACAGCTTTCTATTTATTATTTATTTGTTTATTTATTTGTTGGTTGTTTGAGACAGGGTCTCCCTGTAGTCCCAGCTGGTCTAAAACTTGCTGTGTAGTCCAGGTTGGCCTTGATCTCACAGAGATCTGCTTGTCTCTGCCTCCCAGGAGCTAGAATTAAGGGTGCGCACCACCATGCCTGGCACAATCGTCCTTTAGAAAAAAGTATACATAGGAAGGTCAAGCAATATGCCCAAGGGACAAGTGTAGAAAATCTGGGCTTGGAACCCAAAGTCCCTCCTTTTACCCACTCTCTTAATTGGTCATCTCAGAATCTTATTTCCAAATGAATTTCAGGGTCCCATGTCACTCAAGCTGGCCTCGAACTCACTATACAGCCAAAGATGATCTTGAACTCCTGATCCTCCTGCCTCTTCTTCCCAAGTGTTAGAATTGAGGCAGTACTGGGTGATGGAACTCAGGCCTTTGTGCCTGTCCCACAAACAATTCTATATTCTCTCTGCTTTTGAAAAATATTTTAGCGGGGCATGGTGGTGCACACTTTTAATCCTAGCACTTAGGAGGCAGAGACAGGCGGATCTTTGTGAGTTCGAGGCCAGGCTGGTCTACATAGTGAGTTCCAGGACAGTTGGGGCTACAGGGAGACCCTGTCTCAAAAAGACAAAATAAATAAATAAATAAATAAAAATAAAAAATATTTTAATAGCCAGGTGTGGTGGCGCACGCCTTTAATCCCAGCACTTGGGAAGCAGAGGCAGATGGATCTTTGTGAGTTCAAGGCCAGCCTGGTCTACATAGTGAGTTCCAGGACAGCTGGGGCTACAGGGAGACCCTGTCTCAAAAGGACCAAAAAAAATTTTTTTAGTAAATACATAATACTTCTCATATTTTAAATTTTATTTTATGTATTATTACTGTGTAAGTAAATACAGGTATGTGCATGCATACCATGGCACTCATGTGGAGATCAGTGGACAACTTTCAGGAGTCAGGGCTTTCCTCCCACTGTGGGTTCCAGGCCTGGTACACACCTTTAATCCCAGTCCTTGGGAGGCAGAAGCAGGTGGATCTCTGTGAGATCAAGGTCAGACTGGTCTCCATTGTAAGTTCCAGGCCAGCTGGGACTACAGGGAGACCCTGTCTCAAAACAAAACAAAACAAAAAAAACAAAACATAATAAAAAAAGACTGTGGGTTTCAGGTATCAAATTCACTCGGGTCATCAGGCTTGCATGGTGTTTTTACCCACTGAGCCATCTTATTGACCTAATACCTGTAGAGTACAACATGATGTTCCAACATATTTATATAATACATAATGATCTTGCCAGAGTAATTGGCATCATCTCACATTTCTCATTTCTTTGTGCTGAGACTATTCAAAATCTTGAATAATCTAATTCAAGGTTTTGAAGTATCTAATTTTGAAATATCTAATTACTGTCAACCACAGTTAACCTATTGTGTTATAACACATTATAAATTATTTTACCTGGTCTAAGGGTATAACTTGGTTGTCTAGCATTTTGTGAGGTCCTGGGTTCAACCCCCAGCACCACACACCCACGTTATTCCTTTTTTACTATTGCACCCTGTACCAGTTAATCATTCTCTCTCCATCCTCTCGGCCCTGCTAGTTTTTTCTCTTAAGCAAATTTCTCTATATCTAAGCCTCATCAGCATTGTGAAGGTAACAAAAATCTAGCCAGGCATGGCAGCACATGTCGTAATCCTGGCACTCTGAAGTGAAGAAAGTGGATCTTGAGTTCAAGTATACCTGGGGCTATATGCAAGACCCTACCTCAAAAAACAAAACAAACAACAACAAAAATCAAACGAGAAAAATCTGAGTACCTGCCTCCAAAGGTTATAATAAGGTCAAGGTTCCAAGTGCTTAGTAATAGATAGTGATTTTTTTCCCCCTTGAGACAGGGTCTCATGTAGCTCAGGTTGATCTCAAACTTGCTACATAGTTGAGGATGACCTTGAGCTCCTTATCCTTCTGCCTCTACCACTGAAGTACTAGGGTGGAAGGTTTGCATTACCACACATGGTTTAGATAATAATCTTTTTTTCTTAATATTTTATTTATTATTTTTTATATGTATGAGTGTATTGCCTGCATCTATGTGAGTGCACCTGTGTCATGCAATGCCACAGAGGTCAGAAGAGGGCTTCAGATTTCCCTGGAACCAGAGTCGAGGATGGTTTGTAGTTGCCATGTGGATTAGGAAGTAAAGATGCAGTGTACTGGTTTGAACTAGAGAAATGTGGGATTTCAACTATTTCGATTGTGCCTTAATGAAATTATATACTTTATACAGATTTATTTAGTACTATGAAATGCATTTCTTGGCTACAGTGTTACCTGAATATGCTAAAAATATTTTTGAATAAGTAAAAATATTTCATTTATTATTTTTATTTTATGTGTATGAGCATATTGCCTGCATGTGTGTGAGTGCACCCGTGTTGTGCAATGCTGCAGAAGTCAGAAGAGGGCTTCAGATTCCCGTAGAACTGGAGTTAAGGACCATTCTTGGCCACTATGTGGGTTCTGGGAATTGAACCCGGGTCCTCTGCAAGAGCAGCCAGTGCTCTTAACTGCTGAGCCATCTCTCCAGCCCCCTAGATAATAATTTTTTTAAAAATATTTTATTATTTTTATTTTATGTGTATGAGTATTGCCTGCATGTATGTAAGTGCACCCATGTCATGCAATGCCCGAGGAGGTCAGACGAGGACATCAGATTTTCCTGGAACTGGAGTATAGGTGGTTGTTAGCTGCCATATGGGTGCTGGGAATCAAACCTGGGTCCTCTGCAAGAACAGCCAGTGCCCTTAACTGCTGAGCCATCTCTCCAGTCCCTAGATAATGATTGTTATTCTCAGTAACAGACTATACATTTTCACTCTCCAGGTTATGCTGACCATGGTTCAGGATCATTTTCTTTCCCCAGAAAAAATCCCCTACTTCTTGGCAAAGGGGGAGAATCCATTTATTGTAAATGAATCTCTCTGAGTTTGAGGACAGACTGATGTACATATCAAGTTCCAGGCTATAGTGAGAACGATTCTCAAAAAAAAAAAAAGGGGGGGCCAGGTGTGGTGGTGCACACCTTTAATCAGAGGCAGGCAGATCTCTGTGAGTTCAAGGCCAGGCTGGTCTTGTAAGTTCCAGGCCAGCTGATGCTACAGGAAGACCCTGTCTCAATGCCCCTCGGGATCCAGAAAGGGCTGAAACTGGAGTCTCTGGAACTGACCTGGTTCTGTTTCCTCCACCCTAAATTCTTGTCTACTGTAACCTCCCTTGCTCACCTAAGGTCTTCTGAAGACAGAATGTTTTCTAAAGTTTGTCAGTGGGAGGACCCTCTGCTGGCCACTTGGGGAGGTGCAGCTCAGGACAGGAAGTGGGATGGCTAAAAGATCTGACAAGAGCTTCTCCCCTCCCTCCTCCCTCCGCCTGCAGGCCTCCAGGTCCAGGCCTGCATACTGTAGCCAAGTTCATCTCTTCACTGGCTCCCTGACAGAAAGGGAAGTGGTGGCTGTGGAGGGTTATCTTCAACTCTCAGATTTGACAATCTTTGTTTTGAGACCAAGTCTTGCTGTGCACCCGGCCAGCCTCCACCTCACAATCTTCATGTGCTGGGATTACAGACTTCTGCCATCATGCCCAGTCTAGGTACTTTTTTTTTGGGGGGGGGGGCGGCTCTTTTTGAGACAGGGTCTCCCTGTAGCCCCAGCTGTCCTGGAGCTATGTAGACCAGGCT